TCAATTCTGAATTTCTAGTGCCTATTTGTCATAACTTTATTTTTTCATATATTCATGAGAACAGTACAACGAATCGAAGTCAAATTAGTGTTGGCCATATCCTTTTTTCGCTACTTTTGTCCATATGTTCTCAATATGATCAACTTTTCAATGGAAATATCATATATAGAATACAATACCTAACTATAAATAATTTATATTTCTTACCGCTTCTTTTTTTAAATTTTTTTTATAATATTCGCATTGACCATAAGTTATGCAAATTTTTTTTCTGCTCAGCAGCAACAATTCGTCACAAAAATGACTTATGGTTCTGTTGAGACACTAGAAAAGCACATATTGATGTTCACTGAGTCAAGTTGTCTGTGGACAATTGGTGTGGAATTCAATCTCCATACTTATTGACCTTCTCGAGAGCACGAAGATGACGATCCCCTGTCATATGAGAACAGTTGAATTGTGCGGTCTATTCACGTATTGTTTGACGTGAATTGGTATGGAGCAAAGCCTTCAACGCTTCGCCATCAAAGTTCACAGGTCGTCTAAGCGATGTCTATCTGTCAAGATGGTATCTCCACAACGAAACTTGGCAAACTAATGGCAACGTGTGAAGTCGGTGACGGCTTTCTCGCCGTATGTAGCACAAATATTCTTTGTTGCTGTCATCGTCGTTAATCCTCGTTTTAATTCGTATAGTATACAGCGACGAATACGAACTTTTTGATCATTCATTGTATTACATTTTATCAATTGTTTTTGAAGACCATCTTATATTTATTTTAATATCATTTGAATGATATTTAATAATTAAATCTAGGTGTGAGTGTGGGTATCGATTTTCCATTTTTAACCAAAACCCCGAACCAACATCCACACTCATCCTCATGTCTGTGGAGGGCGCGATGGCTCTTTGATAACGCTTCTACCCACGGAAAAAAATATTCAGAAAAACCGCCATAAACCGCGGTTTTTTCGACTCCACCGCGGTCTTACTCTTGACAACGGCGGTATTGAATATCGTGGTATTCACCGGTTTCAAAAACCGCGGTATGTCTATGTGTAATCGCAGTATCGACCGGTTTTAAAAAGACTGTACTCAATATGGCGGTATCAGGAAAGTTGGAAGACGTCGAAAATTAAATGTCGAAGACCAAAATCTCGTCAAGGCATATGTTGAAAGCCCAATCTCAAAAGTGCAGAATCTGGAAATACAAGCATGTCGAACAGAAGCTGTCGAAAAGCAAAATATTGAAAACGTTGTATATCATATAAGACTTTCAAGAAGTTTTCAATACAGCACTTTTTATTGATTTACTTCTACTGGTGGAAAAAAATGGAGGGTGTGGGTGTGGCTGGGTGTGGGGGGTGGGGTGGATGTGGGGGGTGGGGTGGATGTGGGGGTGGGTGTGGGTTTGAGTGTGGGTGTGGTTGAAGAGAAGATCCATACACACACAGATACCCACCCACAGACCCCACACCCACACCCACACCCGGGTGGCCAGTTGAAAAATTTAAAAATCAGAAAAAATAATTTAAAAATCAGAAAATTGGCAGAAAAAAGATTCATCGAAATCAGAAGAAAATCAGAAAGTGTGTTCAACATGAAATATCAGCACTGATGTTTCCTATATCATTCGGATCGGGGGGAAAATGCAGATCTGTTTCGATTATTCCCGTAACCGACGACTAACCGCGGTTATTTTCTTTGTTCTCACGATTTTCCAGGGTAAAACTCGACGGTTAATCTCAGTCAAGTTCCTAGTTAACCGGATTAACAATCGGTAAATTGTTAGCTGATCACTAAGTGATCTGATTCACTGAGAGGTTAATCGTGGATTTTTACAATGGAAAATCATGGGAACAAAGAAAATAACCACGGTCAATCGACGGTTATG